ACGGACGTGGTGGCCGCACTGCTCATTTGTGAGCGGCCGTCTCTTTTTCTAAGCCTCGCTTCTGTAGCCCGGCACAGCTGACAGTGCTTCCAAGGATCTCTTCCGCCTTGCCCTCACGTCCTAACCAATCTTTATTGCGGTGTTCCATGTTGTCGAGACGCTGACCTTGAGTGGCAGCATCCGCGGCTCGCAGCTCCACTACAGCGGACGCTTTATCCGCTTGGCCGGATTGTTGGAGCGACGGCGAGGACGTCAAAGAGCCGACGGTTTCCTATCAGAAAAAGGCACTCGTGTGAGACAATCTTTACAAACTGGCATGAACTACAAAGATATTCAGTTTCTGGAGAGGCTACCTCAATGGTTCCTTTGATGTACTGTGCATGACCGTGGAGAAGAGATGGCGTGGTAGAGGCCGGAGTAGATTGGTTGTTTGCTTGAGACATTTTCGCTATATTGATACACTTCTGTTATGGGGGATTGCCTTCACTACGGAGAATCGCAAACGGAATCCGTCGTATGTATATATAAATCTCGGGAACTCTCAGAGTGCTGTGTGTGAAGTGACATCATGGACCAGCTCATCATGATCAGGTAAAAATCGTTTGGACAAAGCCTCAATAGGCATTGCCCGAGGTGTCCTGCCACTACTGCGCCCGTCTCTCTGCTGCCCGAGATTGTTTTCTGAAACAGACTTGCCTTCATCGTTCAAAGCAAGAAGGAAAAAGGCAGGAAGGTATGTACGTTGACCTCACACCTCAGCAAAGCAACATGCAAACTGTCGCTACAACATCGCGCGTCAATTCAGATCGACTGTGATTAGGAAGAAACCAGACATCTAAAGACTACTCTCTCCCTCCCCACAACCGTTTCCAAGTATGTTTATGGTCCCACGTAACCGCCTGCTTCAGCTCTCTTCTCATCTCAGGCCATCAAGCGTCGCCCGCTTCAGTACTACCCGTTCAGTCAACATGGTTAAAGTAGGCGATACTCTCCCCAAAGCCACCTTGACCGGACCTACACCGAACGACAAGATTGAGAGCCCAGAATTCTTTAAGCAGTATAAGAAAGCTGTGATCTTTGGTGTTCCTGGAGCATTTACTCCTGGATGCACCAAGACGGTATGGACTATGCTCGCGGTTGGTTGAACTCTAGCGCTTGCTAAGATACGTTTTGAACAGCACCTGCCTTCCTATGTGAAGGACTATGAAAAGCTCAAAGAAAAGGGTGGTGGGTAACATCGCATTCGCGACTGTAAACCGTTGTGCATTAATGGGTCCCTTTCATCAGTCGACCTTGTCGCCTGCGTCGCTGTCAACGATGCTTTTGTTATGACGGTAATTGAGTATTGGTCTACTACAAAACAAGATTCTCCAAGTAATTATTCATAACTCAGGCATGGGGAGAAGCTAACGGCGCTGACGGCAAGGTGAAGATGCTCGCCGATCCAAAAGCCGAGTTTGTCAAAGCTATGGACTTGGCGTTCACCGCCGATGCTCTTGGCGGTGTAAGGAGCAAACGCTTTTCCATGGTTGTCGAGAACGGAGTTGTCAAAGCGGTGAGTAATGAAATATTATGAAGGTGCAAGCATCTGTCGGAGCGTATACTCACGGCCGTCCCCCAGATTAACGTGGAGCCCGACAACAGTGGACTGACCTGCTCCTTGTCCAACTCAATTTACAAGTCCTTGTAGAGACCGAGTTGTTGGGCACAGAGCTGTAGCTGTATTGATGGTATCTCGTTCGCAGACCACCTGTGTAAAGTAACCCCAATGAATTTTAAAATAGCCCATGTCATATGTTCTATTGATAACAGAACCGTGGGAAAATGTCAATGTTTGACAGCTGCGTCTTTGCTGGCGACCTGCAACATTAATTCCCGAGGCGACAGAAGCGTGTGAGCCATAGGCAACTTGGATAACCATAGCGGATTGTTGGTAAGTTGATGTCTACGAATTACGTGATTCCCAAGAAAAAGAAAAAACCCATCGATCCATCGTGGTATGTAACACTCCCAATGTGTGTACTTCCATGATGACGATCGTCATTGATTTGGTGCATGCATACCATTATTTGCTTCTTCCAGGTATGGAGCTAAACCACCACCGGATCAGACTATCGTTGAGTGTGCCAAATGTGGTGAGGCCTTGTTCAGAGAGTACTTTTCCAAGGTGCAAAGGGCGAGAGACGAACAAAGGCTATGGTAAATATAGGCCCATGAAAGTTGTACAAACTGTGACACTCACTCAATTACTATAGCTTACGATGTGCCAACGGGTTTGAGGGTTCTTGGGACGAGTTTTTCGATAGGAATAAACATCTGATCCCAACAGTTCCTATGGCGGGGAAAGGCACAAGCGTTATTTCGCGACATACAACGCAGGTGACTACGACCGACGCCAAAAAAGTCACGAAACAAAAGCGCATCGAGCTGTATATTCAACAAGAGAAGGCCATCCAGAGGAGAGTGAATGACGCTTGGGGTGAAAATGTCGTGAGGCCATGGGACGAAAAATCGGCCATTGTTACAATAAAGCAAGTACAAGATGTCCGCATAAGTTCCCAAAGAATAACTGGGCAACATATTCTGCCGACGGAGATGGCCAGCAGTAGTCAGCAGCAGAGGGGTTCCTCGTCCGACAAGGATGTAACGCTATGTATCCAACGCGAATACGGGAAGAACGTTCCTGTGAAGGCAGCTCAGAAGATTTTGCAGCCTTCGACGGGACTTGCGAATCCCTTTCCTCCGAAAACGCAACAGAGGGACAAAGACGACAATATCATTGCCGCAAATCTTGCTCACCAGCCGTCAACGATCACAGAAGTGGGTAAAAATGCTCGCAGAACGATCACATCGAGTACGAGCGAAGCACCTCAAGTAACAGGACACAAAGGTTGCCCCGTAGAATCGTCACCCGAGACGCCTGGGACGTTGGAGGTGGATCTGCTGATGTTCTGCCGTAAAGTACAATTGTCCGAGCTGTCGACAGTACAAGCAATGTTCGATGACAATGAATTTACATGGCTCGAAGGCCAGGAAGTTGCAAAGGTGAGCGCTCACTGGGTTCTGATATCACTCTTTGCTTTCCAATTCATGCCTTAATTAGGGATATCCTCAATTACATGAGAGTGTGGGCCTTAGTGAGACGGAGTACAAGGCCATCCCTCTGGACTACACGTTCCATTTTCGGATCAACGTCCGAGTGGGCAAAAACAAACACGGCTTATCAACGTTCATCGAGTATGAGCTTCCGAACAGTTATCCATACGTCAACCCTAGATGTAATATTGTCTGTAATCCGGACACTATGGGTCTTTCAGCTGCCATGACCGAAAGAGTACGAGACTACATCGGGTCTCTACCTAAAGATAAGAATGGATGCCTGAAGAGTACAATATATGAAGTGTGGAGATACGTGAAGAAGGTGCTTGCAGAATTGTTGAGTCAACATGATGTTTCGGTGGAGCCGCCAACGCCTTCGACGGTGTCACAAACTGAGGTAGAAACAGTGCCACTTGGAAAGGACGGCGAAAAATGGCTTCAGCAGCCGGCTGTCCCCGTTCAAACTTCGTTGGACGCTAAGAGCCGGACGCTAAAGGTGGCTCGGTGCCTCCTCACACATCGACAATCTCTAGATAGCCGCAATATCCGGAATTGGGCGGTTGAGCTTGAGGTAGGGTGCGTGTGGTGTACAGGCACCCTTGGAATCGTCCTTATAGAGGGAACCTATCAAAGTATAGGGCAATGTATTGCCAGATTGAAGGATGAGGATGAGAAAAGTGGTAAGAAGACTTTAAGAGTGAGACGTTTGGTGACCGAAACGGCCGTGCTGAAGGGGGACACGCGTATTGACCAAGGGTGGAGAAAACTTGTAAGAGATCTCGCTGGCAAGGTTCAAATGCCCGCACTTGACGAATGCACGGATGTCCAGGATTTTGTAACACGCGCACAGAATCTTGGTGTGGGTGATATGCTACTTAAATAGTGAGCTCAACGTGAATAAAGCGCTTACAAGCTCTGGTAGATCAGTTTTAACGATTGGCATCATTGGCATATATATTATAGTGTTTCACAAGCTATTTTGCAGTTGGACAGTTGCAACAGCGTGGCCGTCACTCAGGCAATGACTCTGACGCACGTTTTCTCATCGAAGATAGATCGAGGTTAAAATGATTCAGCTTGCCACGATCGGGATTGTGCAAGGGTACAAAACCGGTTGATTCGCGTGGAATTGTCGGATGCCCTTCGACAAGTGCACCTCGGATATATATATACGTGTTGCCCTGTACTTAGTTGCTCCATCGCGTCTTACTATGGGAGGGCCACTTTCCCACCACAAGTAAGCATACAGGAGGCCACGAAAGAGAAGCGGTTTGGGTTCGCCTGGGAAGTTCAAGCGGTTCGGACCCTGCATTCGTGGCGCCAATCGTGCAAGTCGGTTGAACATTCAATGGTAATCCCCCATCTCTCATCGCCGCTGGCCATAATCCCCGTGCGACATTTACAGCTAGTCAACATCATAATTTCCAACGTGAAACCCCAGGACGAGCTAATGGTGGAAGTTCATAAGAAATTTGGGCGGTAGTTTATATAACAACCACTTTAGCTGCTTTTGTTGGTTTCTTCGCTTTTCCGGGCCCAACCACCCATGATCCGATAAGGGTCGGCAATGCGACATTGATCGATACGAAGTCAGCAATTTCAGCATGCAAAGCAGACGTTTGGCAATTGGGTGCGTCGAGCAATTATTTCAACGTATGCCTACGGTATTAAAGCCCGGACGACCAACGTTGCCGCATATGGGCGAAGAAATAATTCAGTACTGGTATCTATGTAAGTGCCCATGCTCTAGTGACGATGCGTCCTTACAGGCCTTAGTTGACACCAGTTGACGATCGTCACCTCGATCTATTGGCAGTGCGACATCCCTATACAACAGATGTTTGTGGTATTCCAAGTTTCAAGCTAATGTAATTTTGCAAAGGCTTTGCCAGCATCAACAAGGACGTATAGGAAAGTGGTCAAATCCGCTGTGTTCAGGTCGCAGTCCCTTGTGGTTCGCAGGTTCGAATCCTGCTGCGTCCAATTTTTTTTCCATTTTGTCTTGACACTTTAACCGCGTTCATTCAACCCATTTTCAAATTTCCTCGACTGAGAACTCGGGCTTCTAACTCATTGTCCTTGTATTAGAAGTCGGGCTTGTATTATATATAGTCTATCTTTGTGTCGATAGGCCAACAAAGCCTAGCTCGGCACGCCGAACGCCCAACACGGGTCTGGCCACGCCATCAATGTCCAACTGAAGCCGTGCCCTTCGTGCCCTTCGCGGGCTTCCGAGCAAGGAAGAACAGCATGGGAGTGAAGATGTGCATCTCCCCACCCTTAACAAGGTTGTCAGCGGCCAGGTTGAGCAGGGAAGATACTTTACGGGTACCAGAAGGAGCAAGGCGAACGGTCTCGAGACCAGACACCATTCTATCGGTAAACCTACAATGAAGATATAATTGTTGGTCATTGAAATATCAACTAGGTACATCCATGGCGTATCACTTACCAACGACCCATGGGAGTCATCCTCCACCTGTTCAAGTTGTCCAATTTCAAAGAGTACGATCCTTTGAGGGGCAGATACCAGGGATCTTGTGCCTTTTGCAAACCCGAGTCAGGAGATGCCAGGTCCTCCCACTCCACAATCTCAAATCCAACAGTCTTCAAAGCCTGTAGACACTGATCCACCGTGTAAAGCTTCGAGATACTGTTTCCCTCTTCAAGGTCACGAATAATCTTCTTCTGAACAGGGTCAGACTCATCATAGCGGTCTGTCGTGCACCACTCGTAGCAGGCAAACGAAGAACCGGGTCTAAGGACGCGGAAGATCTCTCCGTAGACTTGCTCAAGCCGGGGGGCATGGCATGTAGCCTCGAGCGCATAAGCAGCATCAACAGAGTTGGCAGGTAGGGGCATTTTGGTAAAGTCGCCCTTGACAGTAGAGCAAAGCTCTGCCAATCCTTTTTCTTCGGCGAGGTGCCTGCACCTCTCGACCTGATACTGGTTGTTGTTCAGCCCGATGATGAAAGCCTCAGAGAATCGTGCGATTTCACGCATCGGACCGCCCACGCCACAGCCAACATCGAGACACTCCATTCCCTTCTTAAGTCCGAGCTTCAGTGCAAGGTAGAGCTCATGCTGAGCAATACTTTGAGCGAACGACTGATCCTTGAACATACGCGCAAAGTGGAAGGAATACCCCCAACCTGAAAGCCCAGAACGTTTTAACACTTTACATCCAACGATAACAAATGCAGTTGAAGGTTTGGCATAATAACTTACCGTACTCGTAGAAGTCGGTGACCATGTCATAAAAGTGGTTCGTAAGTTTGGCGGCCTTTCCTCGACGCACCTCCACAACCTCGTCATTCTTCATCAGCACCTCACCGTCACGATCACGCTCCCAGTACTGAAAGAAGGAGTCCACCGTCTGTTTGTGAGCCAGATCATCGGTGTTACGCTTGCGCAGACGCAGGAAAAATGAAGAGAGTTCTGGATCTTGAACCGGCGTAATCTCCGGCTCACTGTCCCCTGCAGTCTTCTTCACGCGAGTCATTCTGCTGAAGTACTTTTCACTATGAAGTTGCGAAGTAAAGGCTTCTCTTTTAGTCGTTACTCAAGCTGATCCAACAGGGCAATCCTAAAGGATGCGATTGCTGGACGTTTGGACGTTGAGCTAGCGTGCGCGTCCGACGCGTCGTGGAAGTGTTCCAAAAGGAATTGGGCAGCTCCGATAGGCGAGCTCATTTCAATACGTACGCGAGCGTATCCCCGATTGCTTTTTGGAAATATCTAATGGTACCGTTGTGATTCAAAGTTATGGTACTAATGGTACTGTTGGTACATGTACAAGCCTCAAGAAGCATTTCAATTGTTCAATTACTACATGCATAGTTGATACAAATATATAAGCGGCATTTCCCCACCCCCCCCGGCACTAGCAGTTTTGAAACTGCCGCATTTTGGCGTGCGGTAAAACCTTCTACGCTCCGCAGGCCGTTGCTTTCTTCCTCAATGGCGTGGCGACCCTTTCTCTGCTCGATCAAGGTTAAGAAGACGGTTGCCACCATCTCCATAACGGGCAACAGGCGGCTTCTTTCTGCCCAATGCGGAATTCGAGCCGCACGACTCTGCACAAATTTCCAGGGTTGCCCATCGGCGTCCACCGAGGCGGTGGAGAGGACGATATTGTCTACAGCTCGCAATTTCGACAGAACTTTCCAGCTGAAAGCTGCATCTTTGTCTATGAAATGGCGAGCTGTAGAGCAAGAGTTGTGGTTTCCACTCCTCTAATGTGTGGCCTGCGTTCTCTGCTCGCAAGCCCGACGAACTTTCCAAGAACGCGAGATGTACCTGCGGTCTCTGCGGGTCGTACCCGATACCGTCTCCCAGCTTAACCGGAACAGAAAGGTAGGGCAAGATCACACGGCAAGCGCCGAGACGCAGTACCTGCCGTAATCATTGAAGAAGAAGACCTTCAAGGCCTTTAAGTTCTTCAAATGTTAATGTGTGGCAGCATATCTCGAAACAGAAGGATGGAGTTACCTGCGGCACTTGGTTAAGGTCTCTTGAAGGCACTGCATGTTCTGGCAGCGGGAAAGTTCCTAATGCTCGTCTCAGTGTGAAAGAGACGAGGAGGCCCCTTCAGCGCTGCCTGACGGTTAACGTTAGCCCTTCGGACTAGTTTGAACGCGTGTGCCTTAATTGACGCGTTGCTGGACACCCTGAGAGCGATGAGATTTTCCCATGAAAGTGAACTATCCGGACTAAAGGAATAGCTATGTATGTCCCTGGTTTCTGCCATCACGCTACAACCATGTCAGGGCGCTCACACTGCTCCGTTCGATGTCAACAAACAGCAACGAATCCCTGCGCATCTGCCGCTGTATTCGTCAAACACAACGGTAGGTCATCAAAGTCTTAAAGGTGCCTTGCGTTTTCAATGCTGATTGTCTCCACCTCGGTCAACAGTCAAACTTGGCCTTCCACTATGCCTGGGAATGTCAAGTATCCGTTGTTTGCAATCCTCACTTGTGGTTCCAGCTTCACGGCTGGCGAGTTCGATGCCGGTTGTAATTCCAAGTCGTATTCCGTCAGCGAGCGACAGTGCGGCGTCACATGGGCACATATGTGTTCGTGTGATGAAAAAAGTGTGGCGGGGATCAGCGTGGGTGGAACAATGCCAGATTGTTGACGCGATCTGCCACTGCCCCGGTTTCTTGCTGCTATCCTCACTATGGCCTCAGTTCAGCTCAAGGTCCTTCGGAAATGATTTTCAAGGTTAGTGGGACTCCATGCTGGTGGAATAATATCAGATTGTTTATTGTGTAGAAAGCTGCCACTGCCCTCGGAATCCTGCTGCTGTTCGCAGTAAGTCATTGTCCGCTGTGCGGACTGGCAAAGCACAATGCTATGGTGATGGATCCTAATCTATCTATTCTGTCTTTACTTTTCTGTGCCTAGGCATTTACGCAAAGAGCAGAAGCTCTCAAACAACGGACTGTTGTTTATACACCATCAGAGGATGGGATGAGCTCGCGAAGCTCGGTGTCCGATCTGTCGTACTAATTACTAACTTACATTTTTAAGGGAAGCGCAACTATACCCGTAGACCAGCTGGACAGTAATGACGAATTGATGGTTGGTGAGCGAACGTGCGTGATTCATTCAGGCGAGACATTTCTTCATGGTTAACGGCGTCAGTTCAGGGCTACCGGTTATTTATCTGGAAAGTAACGGTCGGTGGACGGATGAGGGAGCGAACGCCCCTGAACTGACTGGTAAGATAGATCATTTGCTTGTGCACGTAAGTCATCTAGTGATTATCACAGAAACAGCTCGTCCCTATCCGCTAGAATCTCGCTAGAATCGAGCTTTAGAGGTGTGGATGGATTGGTAGATGAATCGTCTCATTTGGAATTTATTTTTCGAAAGTAATCGACTTGTTTACTCAGCGCGAGACCTTCAACTCTCGCTCCAAAGGGTCAGAGTACTTCCAATTCCAATAATTTCGATATATGTTTTGAAGGGTAAGGAACGATAATAGGAGGGCCTTTTCTCGTCACATCATTCAATCATCAATTCATACTCAAACCGGTGGTGCAACGGCAAGCGCGGCGACACAGATGCATGCTGTGGTTCAGCATTCAATCCAAACCACAAATGGCGCAACGGTTATCTATGAATCTAGAGCCACTACGATGTATCTAGGCGCATGGGAATAATAGGATGTCGTTGCGTCTAATAATGGTTTACCACCACATTTCCAGTCTTGGACCAAGTGGCAGGGTCAGTTTTGAGCTTTCATTCGAGAATGTCAGAGAGTAATAAGTAATTGCGCGGCCTGGGTTGTGCGTCTGTTGCAGGTAATGCGGCTAGATCACCACGACCGGGGTAGCCACAATGTTCGAACGACAAGGCCAGCCCACCTCGTCCCATTCGGTCTAATTAATTTCTCCTTTCCTCTGTATATTACCCTACGACATCTCCACTCTTTCAGAGCTACTCAAGTCGGTGAACTGTCTACTGGTATACAGCATGCTTCAGCGCCCTACATTAATATATACGATGAATATGTTATTTCGGAAGATCTACTCTTGTGCTTCCAAAATTCTTTTGCAACCGCACGAGCCATGTCGGCGCGGATGGTGCAAATATCATTCTTAATCCCGGAGGTCACCTTAGAGGACGGGACAATCGATCCACTGGAAACTGGGATTTCCCTTGCTTGCTACCCTTTCATGCTCAGTACATGTCTAACATCATCAACGAATCGTAGTGCATCGAGCATCGGAAGCAGGTCAAGCAATGCCTCGTCCTTCGGATCAGATATCCACGATTCAATCGGTATGCCATTATCTGAGGAAACACGTAAAAGACCAGACATTAGTTACCGCCCAAAAACACTTTGTAAACACGACTATGCGGGACGCACCTCGGTTTTCTGCGTAACTGATGGGACTGTTGTCCACTAGTGCCACCTCTCCAAGAGTTAGCTCACTTCCATCCGAGGTATTTGAAACGCCATGGATATGGTG